TGTGTAACTTCATAAATGATTACGACTATATTGATGCAGTGCCAGCCGTTTATGGATTAGGAAACTCACTTCTAAATTATCTGTTGTTGATGAGACGTCACTATTTTCTTACCTCTATTGGCATGTTTGATGAAGTTGAATGGAGTGTCTGATCATTTATTGTTACAGTGATTTGGTAGTTGTTGCTCTCATGAGTGGAGAAACAGAAATTCTTGAGTAATGAGCTGGAGAAATGGATATGAATAAACTACCTAATTCTCATGCAGGTTGATGAATGTATACTCTGGTTGAGCATTGTATTCATCACTATTCTATGTACACCACAACCAACCATAGTTCGATGGTCATCTGCTCCCCCTGCGTCGGAGAAAATGATGCTCCAATGGAAGGGCTTCTGTGCAATCATAGCAAATGCATACTTCATGAGAGGAATGGCATGGTGAGGTCCCGTTAAAATATTTCACAATCTTATCATTTAGTTGACTAAGTTGAGTGTGGTTTTGAGCCTAACTTGTTATTGCATTCAAAAAATTAAGGCTTCCAGTGAAGACTCTTCAACTAGAGCAACTGGCAGTGGTGGGTTTTGCTGAAGAGCCATCAGTTGTTGCAAGCCGAATGAGACTAGTGTTTAGCACACTTGAGGTCAGTTTCTATTTTCTAGATTGATTTGTTTGATTCCCTGAGAGTGTGTTTGGAATGGAGAACACGATTGGATTGAATACTAGACACTACGATAGTCAAGATTTTAGATACTTTGCCGTTGCCATTGTCCAATCTATCTTACAAAATATGCAAGCAACTTATCTTGCAGTCTCACGATTATTACAAGCACTATGTGAATGCAATCAACATCAATATTTGGATAAAATTAAGTTGTTGAAATTAATGTGATAGAAATGAATGGTGGATAAGTTGGTGGTAGTAGTGTCTTAAAAGGTTGTGTTTAAAATTAAAAATTTTCTTTGACTATTAAGTTATAAGGGAATTATAATTTTTGTGAACATGCACTGAATGTTGTCATTTATCAGATTCATATTCATGTACATGCGATGTGAAGGTCTGATTTGCTCGTTGTCATTGCAGGTTGTGAGTCCACAGTGGCCAAGAATGCAGTAAATTCACGTCAAATGTGGGTGGAAACAGGAGAAACTGAAGTACTGAGAGATTTTCATACAGTCTGGTGTTAAGTGTGTTTATGAATTATAAGAAGTATTTCATGGCATACAGTACTGCACAGTATTAAAAAATATAAAAATCTTGTTAATTGTTCTTTTTCTAAGAAAATCTGCATTTAGAGTTGTTCTATACTCGAAATAGCATTTTGGTTCCTATTTAATTTTTTTGGCATTTGAATATCGGACATGTTCAACTATTGAAGCTTCTATCAGGCATTCTTGAATCTTGATATAGAAGCAATGGATAATAACTGTATTGGAATTCGTTTTTTAGATAGGAATTAAGCTATAAAGATGTACTAGCAAATTATTTTTCTCTATAGATAGCTGCAGATGGGAAGCATCTTTTGCATGGTGAATACAGTGGAGGCTCAGGGCAGACCACTTCCAAATCCTCCATCAGCTCCTCCACCAAATGCACTGCCCATGCCAAACCCTCCACCAGTTCCTCCTATGCCACCAGACCCAAGTCCACTTCCTCCGGCTCCAGCACCATTACCTAATCCACCACCCACTCCTTCGCCAGTGCCTCCTGCACCAGCACCGAAGCCGGACCCTCCACCTAAACCTGCTCCCACACCCCCCAAGCCAGCTCCTCTACCAGTGCCGAATCCTCCCCCAACACCAAAAGGCCCACGATAAGGATGAAAGTGGGGGTGAAAAAATGTCTTCTGCTCATCCACTGCATTCTTTTCCAGCGAAAGGGTCCTTGCATTGATAGTGCAAGCAAATGCTGAAATCACAACCAAAAGGAGAATCTTGGCTCCCATTTTTAGTGTTGGAAAAACTCTGAATGAGAATGTCAGTGTATGAGGTAAGGATTATATAGACATTGAAAATTGGGAAACTTTTAAGTAAGTTGAGGCAAGTCTTCATCTAAAATCTGTGTTGGGATTACAGATCAACTGCAAAGGTGCCAAAATTGGTAATATGATCTTGATGATCAACCTAATTCCTGCATAAAGTAAAACTCAAACGAAAAATTCAAAATTCAACCTCGAATGAAAGTCAAATTAAATTTTTATGAGATGGGATATCGGGAGTTAATATGGCATAATAGTTCATAAAGTTCACTAGCTAAATTTTAAATTATGATCTTTTAATTTTGTTAAAGGAACAAATTCAATAGCTAAATGACAATTGATAAGCAGAATATTGTTCCCAATGTTTAAAAAAGGTCTCGCCATTAACCCTGAAAATTTGAAGTATCGGTCTACTATTACATTATATAATTCTTGCTAAAACCATATATCATTGGGAAATGAGAGAGACAAGGACAAACTGATGACAAACCAATTAATTTATTTTTTTCATTTTTCCTCTCTTTATTACATTCTGACAAGAGTTTTACTACATGAACATAAGGAATGACATTGGGGATGATTAAACACACACACATGGAGGTCGACATTTTTTTTTAATTCATGTGGGACCCACGCTCGATGTGAGGGTTGGTCTGCCGACATGTCAAAATTTTCGGACAAACCAGCTCTATTCTTTTGACAATAGGGAATTCAACCAAGGATGGAAATGATTAGAGCGCAACTAATTCCCAGGAGAACTTGGGCATGTTAATTCAATTTTCAAGGCAGGAAATTTAACTTGAAAATTATCCATAATTTTGCCTTGACACTAACTATGACCTAGGCCTAGGGCTTGTTTGATAGTGATTTTAAGAAAAATGTGAGTTCCACTTATGAGTGAAGAAATAAAAAATGACGACAAATTTAGAAAAGTAATGGCTAAAAAATTAATTTTTCGGGATGAAAAATCACAAGCCCAAGACATGACAAATAAATGGCATTTGGAAAGGGAAGAATCTTTTAAAGAAAAACCTCTTATAAAGAAGCTCTCAGGACACTGGGTGCCAAGTCGAACCAAATATCTTGTAATATCTTTGCAACTCTGCATAATATAGTGTTTGATGGATATTTTTCACGCTGCACCCAAAAAAGTGAACTGGGAATAAATTATAATTGGTGATAAACTTGTGTTTACAGCTAAATTAATTTTCGTGCAACGGTACTCAAATTTTCTACCCTTTAATAAACAATTGTGCAGCATTTTGTGGCGTGGATTGTAGTATGTGCCTCTTAAAGATTTAGAACTCTGGGGACTCCTCTCAGATTCCCGTGTGTAGAAGAAATGATATTTTGCATACGGGGAAGCTCGAGAAATTTTGTTTAGTATTGGGTTGTGATGCTACCAAAAATCGTACCTGTAGATTTCTCGAGCTTGACGACTGATGAGTAGCACGAACGTGATCTTTCGGTACCTGAAACAAAGGCAACGAGGTGTGTTCTTGTCGCCCCTCCGATGCTTAAGTCAGAAAGCGAATTTTGTGCATGAGGCTATGTGCTGGAGAACAATGAAAAACGTACCTGAATAATGATTAAGGGCTTCGTATTTATAGAGGTAGGTGGTGTGTTCATACTATGATTCCGTAGTGCACCTATAGTAGGATAGCTTGATTTTGCAATCTTACACCAATGAGTCCTACGCGAGATAGGAGTTTGAATTGCGGTATAACTGCGATACCAATTATTTAATAGAGTTCTTTTGGGTATAGGAGACATGAGTTGAGGATTTTTAGTCAGAATAAATTTCTTCATTGGATAAGGCATTGACGTAGGTCATAATTCCGAGGACATGTCGAATGATTGTCGAATAACTCTTGGGGCTAATAGCTCGGGCATATGGAGATACCCGAGCACATGTATCTCGAGCATATTGGTAAACATATCGACGAAATAGAGTCCTCGGGTTTATATACGTCGGGACCAAATATTTGGTTATATCACTGGCCCCCGTGCACCTGTGCTCAATTATATGCATGAGGATAGGTACAAAAAGTCCAAATTACAGTCCTCGGTACAGCACCTTCGACGATTCATTGCTGAGGAAGGACTCCTGAGGGTTGACGTCAGATGTGGTAATGACGCCAGCCCTAGTAGAAAGGCGGTGTAACTTTTAGACCGTGGGATGTAGGACACGTGGCATGATCGAACGGTTCAGAATGCGACCTTTGGCCTCCCACCCATGTTTCCCTATATAAGCCTCATTTCCTATTCATTTTTTACTTTTTCACTATCAGTAAACCTTGTCGGAGTCGTCGGGATAAGGTAAGTCCTACTAGACTTGAAGTTGTTTGTTTTTAGAAAAATCTATATTTAAGATAGGATGTCGAGCAGTGATAGTGATACGTCATCCTCGAGTTCGGAAACCCCAACCGAGGACTTAGGGTAGTCAATAATACCTATGGCTGTCCCCATAAGTGCTAATCCTCGAGCTCAGGATATCTCGACCCCGTTAGTATACCCCGACCAGCCTTGTAGGTTTAAGGAGCACTTAGCAGTGGCGACTGCTAGGGAGTTCGGCTTGATGCCGAACTGTGATATTAGATCTCCTGGCGATGAGGATAGGGTAGCTATTGCTCGGGAAGGAGAGTTCGTCATTTTCAAAGATTCTCTAAAGGGGGTATTTAGATGGCCACTGCATCCCTTTTTCCTCGCACTCTTAACCGAGCATAATATGAGCCCGGGGCAATTAGTGCCGAACGGGTGGAGGATGTTGACATACTTTTTTATTGCTTGTAGATACCTCGGGATTTTCCCGTATGTCGACTTATGTAGCATGGTCTTTGACCTAAAACAACTCCTCCAGTACTCTTGTTTTGCTTACCTCTCAACTCGAGGAGGGTTTAGAATCCCGAGGATGCCTAGCTCCCTGAAGGGGTGGAAGGATAAGTGGTTCTATGCTATACCTCAAGATCCCGACGTTTCCTTTAGTCCTCGGTAGGGGGTGCCCGATACTGCCAGGTTTTGTGGGGGTCAGGCGTACTTTGAGTCGTTGGAGAGGCATAGGCAAATGCTAGAGGAGCTCGAGCCCCTCGTTTATAACTTGGATGATATCCTCGAGCTTGCGAACATGAAAGGCATCAAGGGTAGGATACGTGATTTTGACGCTTAATTTCCCGACCTATATTTTTACTCATGCTCGTGCTATAACATGTTATTTTTTTGCAGAAATGATGTTTGACCCAAGTGCCATTCGTCAGGCGATTAACAAGAAGTCTAAGGCTCCCCAGGCTCGGGCTCCAGGCCAGAGGAGGGGCCAAAAGAGACCTCGGGATGCGAGGCCTGAAAGGCAGACTAGTGGGCCCAGTGAATCATCAAGGCCCCGAGGACCGTCCTCGGGAATAGGGAGGACGGGATCTCAGCAACAGGATCTTCTGGGGACTCCTCGGGAGTCTCGTCCTCGGGGACCTATTGACGTGGTCGACCTCGAGGATGAGTGCCTGCCACCGGGCCCTGCTAATCCCGAGGGATGCTCTCGGTGTCAGTCAGTGCTCAGCATCGTCGACAAATACTGGGCAGACGTCGACTTAAGCAATGGTTTGAGGGCTCTCAAGGCTATGGCCTTGAAGGTAAGATCATCGGCAGTTTTTATTTTTATTATTTTTTGTTATCTTTACGTCCTGAGGTTAAGTTACCCGCACTCTTTTTTCAGACACTGGGAATAGCTCGAGGTCTCTCCTTGAAGGGGAAAGACGAGTCTTCAAAAATGGCCGACCTTGAGGGTGTCGTTTCTGCTCGGGATCTGAGGATCACTGACCTCGAGGAGGAACGTGCTCAGCTGATGAGGGAGCGCGAGCAGATGCGAAATGATCTTCGCAATGCTCAGGATGAGGTCGGTACTGCGAAGGCCGAGCACTTCAAACTCGAGCTCGAGCGCAATCAAAAAGATTTGGATGCAAAGCTGGCCAATGCTCGGGAGGATGCGATCGAGGACTTTAAGAAGTCTGACGCCTTCAACGAGTTGAAGGGCGAGTATGCTATGGGTTCTTACTTTCATGCCCTGAAGGAAGCTCGAGCTTTCATTCCCCTGAGGCCAGATGCTTGCCTTGAGGATCTGAAGTCAATCCCCGAGGTGGCTGACGACCTTCATCTTTCTGAGTCTGAAGAAAACGCTGGGGATGAAGACGTCGACATTGAGGGTGATGATGTCGAGGAAGGCCAAGGCAGTCAGAACACCGACGCCTAAATTTGATCAGTCCCTGAGCATTCATTTTGATTTGTAATTGTAATTTTTTTTTTATGTAAAATGCCCGATCTTAATGGAAATATTTTCTCCTTTTCACCGAGCTCATTCTGTATTATCGTTGTCTTTCTATTTCATCAACATATGCGTCGAACTTTCGTTAACTAATATCTTGACGACTGAGAATGACTAATTATCTCGAGGACAAAGACAATTAATTATCTCGACGACTGAGAAGATTAATTATCACGACGACAGTATTGAATTAATATCCCGACGACTAAATAATCTTGACGATTGAGAAGAAACAATTTGATTTTAAGCACGTCATAATGCCGAGGATAATAGCGAATAGTTTAACACCTTAACGGTAACACTATCCCGACATTGGTATTGAATTACTTCGAGGATTAATCGCGATGGGTGGTAACCTCGAGGTGTTCGAAGAATTGTGACCGACCTCTGTACATAAGTTTATCCCGAGCTTTCACTTTGGAGCTTTCGACAAAAATATAAGGATATATGGTCGGGGATGTATGTCCTCGGGATTTTTACTTGTGCTGCACTATTTTGATGTGCTGATTATGAGCTCCAAGATTTTGGTGCTTGCGCGAGGCAAGGCTTACATGCTTGCTCGGGGCAAGGCTTAGGGTGGCTTGCTCGAGGGCAAGACTTACATTGGCTTGTCGAGGACAAGGCTTTGGTAATTCCTAGACGCAAAGCAAACTAT